GGGCGAAATTCGTCGTTCGCTCCAATTGTGTTCCTAGCATTATTTGGCATTTCTTTTCTTTCATTTTGCAACGCAAACATTGGTCCAACCGAGCCGGATTATTTTCAACGAAAATTAACCCATCTCCCTTTTTCTCCTTTTACAAAGGCATCTACATCGACTTCGTCGAGGACAACAACAACCAACACAAAAAGATCAACGATCAACAAAATTTATATTTTATTTATCTATTCAAATAAAATAATAATAGCAACACAGGTATGTACACCTCTTTATTTATTTTACGAATAAAAAGTGTTGTACAGTGATTCCGTGTTGTGATAAATAATAAAAAAACCGTCGGTCGTTTTACAGCGCGTCCGTCCGTCCATTTGCCGTCGGTAAATTTCATTTCAAAAACAATAAGTGTCAAATCCGTCACTCTATATTTTTGTTTACAACAAAAATATACACACATAATCACAGTGAATTTTGTTTCATTTCCATTTTAACTTATTTTTTGTGTGTTTCGCGCATTTCTTTTATTTTGTTCTTTTTTTTTTTCTATTGATCATTTTGGTGTTTTGTTTTTCATTTATTTTTTCTTCTTTCTTCAAAACACCAAAATCATCACAACAACAATTACCATATGCAAGAGTAATTGTCATCTCTGCTGATTGTTGCCACATATTTAACACTTACATATAAGTATACACTTACATATAACATATGATCATATTTATTAGGGGTGTTCACACTTCCTAATATTATCCAACAAATTGATCGAAATATTTTAGTGCCATTTTCGGATATTTTTTGTGTTGAATCCTTCGGATATCAACTTAAATTAAATTTAAATTGTGTTTTCGACACTGTGCACCCTATATTCGGTCTTATTTATTAAAAGATTATTATTTTTATATTTATATAAAATATAATATTTTATATACTTAATCAAAAACTATTTAATTTTTTATAAAATATTTTTGATTTAAATTTTTTGTTGTTGTCCGCTACCTATTGAAAACGTGCATCTTACAGTCCGTGCACCCTACAGTCGGTTTTATTGACATTTTTAATATTTTTTTCGAATTTTTGATTTTTTATTAAAAATTTTTGATATGTTTTCGTTGGCAATTGTTATCATCGATACTTTGCCATAGTTTTCAGATATTCTACGATACACTGTAAACATTTTACGAAATTTGTAATACACTGAGATAAATTTGAAGCTATTACTTAATTTTGTTTTCTTCAAATTTCTATATATTCGTGGTTTAATCACGTTAAACCTCAATATTTTGCCGTATCTACGATATTTTATTACGATTAGTCAACGACTAATTATAAAATCAATGTATTTCTAATAAAACACATTAATTTTCTTCAAGCATCTCGTGCTTTAAAGTACTTTTTATTAATATTTTTGCAAAAACTTTCACTTTTTTTGATTTGGATTGTCAATTTCTAGAAATTAAAGCATTTCGTGCAAATCTTTCTAGATTTTTATATTTTTGCTATATATTTGTACATCTTTTTAAAGATTTTCATAGTACAAATTGTTTTTCAAACAATTCTTTGAAAATTCTTGGTGTTTTTGCTACTTTTCCTGCAGTTTTCTAAAACAAAATACAGTTTTCCACGAAAACTTTAGACATTTTTCTAATTTTTTCTGAATTACGTTCATTTATTTGAAATAAAATGCCACTCACACCTCTAGATTTGTTCATCCGAGCTACTGATGCTTTGGTTAAATTTGATGCCAACTTCAGTTCCCAATGGGACGATGAGCTCGATGTCTATATTTTAGAATTACAGGGAGCTGAGGTCAGAACGTTATGGGAAAAGGTGAAAACAGTTTTTGACAAGTGTCTTAATTATTTTGCAGAAGAAGACAGTTCGGGTGAGGACATCACTGCCGCTGACACTAAATACGATGTCGCATTTAGATGTTATCTAAAAGTTTTAGCTTCCATCAACAGAAAGTTAGATGAACTTCGGGCTCCGCCTAAGACATCAATGGCGACATCGTCTCCTCAGGCTAGCGTAGGTAATAGGACTACACCTCGTTCCGAGGATAGAGCTTCGATTTTGGAGGCTTCGCCTCATTCGCCAATATCTTATAACTCATCACTCACATCCTGTGGTGGTGATAATTCTTGTCATAGGTTGAATTTACCGCCTTGTGACATAGAAATATTTAATGGCGACTTTCTTTCCTGGCCCACATTTAGAGACTTATTCTCGGCAGTGTATATTAACAATACTAGGATTAGTGACATTGAACGTCTATGTCATTTAAACAAAAAGACCAGTGGCGACGCCCATGACATAGTGGCTAAGTTTTCACTTACCCACAAAAACTTTGGTCTTGGGTGGAAAGCTCTAAAACAAACGTATGACAATCCACGTATTTTGGTGAACCACCAACTTAAGCTTTTATTTGACCTGCCAGTTTTAGACAGTGAAACAAGTTTAGGTTTAAAGAAATTGCAAAGAGGCATAAATGGGTGTATTTCGGCCATGTTAAATTATGGCGTGTCTACTGAAGGCTGGGACCCTATTCTAGTGTTCATATGTCTTCAAAGGCTCCCCAAAAATAGCGTCAAACTTTGGGAACAAAGTATCAAAAATAAATCAGCTTTGTCTTCCTGGGAAGATTTGGATAAGTTTCTTACAGAACGCATCCAAACTATTACCTGCCTTCGTGGCATTAGAGGCATTGACAACGTCAAACCTCAAAGTAGTAAAAAAGTTCGTTCACATTTCACGAATGCTGGCACGAACCGATCCCCTACTTTTACGCCTCGTAATTCATCTTCGTCATCTAGGTCAATCCGAGCACGCTCCAATATAACATGCATTCTATGTCCACGACAAATGCATCATATCAGAGCATGCCAAAAATTTCTACAACTTTCAGTTCCTGAAAGAATTAACACCATTAGGCGACATGATTGTTGTTTAAATTGTCTGTCTCCTAAACATTTAGTCAACCACTGCAGTAGTCCATACAATTGTAGCAAATGTAATAAAAGACATCACACTCTATTACATAGAGATAATTCCACGTCTTCGACTGCAGCAACTTCTGAAGTCAGGAACGTAGCTTTGTGCAATCAACCTTCCACTTCTTCAGGTCTATCTTCCAGCTCTTCTAATAGACAGGTATTTCATACCGCTCAAAGTCGAAATGTCCTATTGGGCACGGCAATGGTGAACATCGTTTACCAGGGTACCACGTACCCTGCTAGAGCATTAATTGACCCTTCTTCAGAAGCTTCTTTTATTACAGATCGCTTACAGCACATAATAGGCATCGCCTCCACTACAACTGTTGATACAATTTCTGGCATTAATCAGGCAGTTTTGACTACGTCGCGCAAGTTGTGTTCAATTTGTATAAGTTCTCCATTGGATGCTTCGCTTTCAATGGAAACTACTGCCCTGATTTTACCTTCCATCTCTGGCAATCTGCCTTCCTTTTCAGTTAATAGCGACATCGTTTCTCGTTTGCCAAATCTACGTTTGGCTGATCCAAATTTGTTCAACAGTCGCCCTGTTGACCTTTTGCTGGGAGCAGATCTTTATTTAAAGATTCTGCTACAGGGAATTCACATCTATCTATCTATCAATCTTTTCCGTTAAAGTCAGTATATCTGACGAAGAAAACCTTAACAAGGTTCTTCTTCGTTTTTGGGGACTGGAGGAAGTTCCTAAACTTCCAATTTTGTCGCCCTCCGACCAGTTTTGTGAGGCAAATTATAAACGAACCACACGTCGGGATTCAGAGGGCAGGTACGTGGTCAGCCTTCCCTTCAAGACAGAGTTAGTTGGACAGGCAGACTTAGGATTTTCCCGAAATAATTGTTTACGACAATTTCTTCGGAATGAGGCATCTCTTCTTCGAAAGCCACAAGTCAAGGCAGTCTACGACCAAGTGGTCAATGAGTATTTAGATTTGGACCATATGAGGCCGGTAGTTGCCGTCAACAAACTCTACGGTTTGATACCTTCCCCACCATCCAGTAATAAATCCCGATAAGCAGACTACTAAGCTTCGAGTGGTTTTCAACACCTCGAATAAAACTTCCAACGGGAAAAGTCTTAATGATATTTTACATGTGGGTCCCACTCTAAAATTAGGCTTAGTATTCCTTAAGCTAGGAATACATAAAGCGCTTATTTGGCTGGCTTAACAAATCTAGTAACAGTAAAATATTCTGGGAAAATATTTAGAAATAGAGCTCTCATTGACTCTGCATCAAAACGAACGGTCCTTAGTAATAGTTAAACAAATCAGTTTCGAGATTATTGGACTCAGTGGAACACTCGTGGCTTATTCTAATAACAAGTGTGTTATAACGTTGTATAAATGATACTGAATTTGAAGCAGAAGCTTTTATTGTGAAAAATTTAACAAATTTATTGCTGACGCAAACAATTAAAATTTCAGATTTGGGACTCATGAATGAATTCATGTTAACAGATCCAGGCTTTATGATTTCAGATCAAATTGATATGCGATGTCATTCCATGTATAATCCTAGAATTAGTTAAAACGAACAGTAAAACATTAACACTGAAGTTGACATTGGAAATAAGTAGTTGGTAAGAAGAAATAAGTACAACTGCTATTTCCACGAAATCTGACGAATATTGTGAAAAATTGTACGCCAATACCGTCGATCAGATGTAAGATTCGTTGTAAAATTACCTTTCGTCCAGATTCAAGGAAATAACCAGTATAAATGTAGGCCTCGAGGAGTCATATAACAAAGAATTGAAATAATATTTGGATCATATGCAGTCCTCCGAATAAAGAGAGATGTGAACTGGTGAAAAAACTGTTTGTACTATTTACCGCATCATGCAGTCTTTTGCCCAGAAAGTTCTAGCATTAAAGTGAGAGTGATTTTTAATGGATCGAGTAAGACAAAAAGCTCGTATTATAAAATGATTTGGCATCTGTAATTTTGAACTAACACTTTTATAAGTATGTAATCAACGGTGACATTAACAGCCTGTTCCACGATGTCGAAAGAACACGTTCGCACAACTTTTACACGACAAACAGCTGATTTCCGTTCCACTAAAATCCATCAGAACGAAAATTTGCACGAAAATCAAAGCGAACGAAAACGTAAGCGTTTCAGTGTAATTTTGCGTTCCACTATCTTTTTTCTTTCGTACGCATGCGAACACAAATGTCAAAATCAGTCACTTGTGTGTTTGCTGTCGAATGATAAAAATTAAGGAAAATTGTTTTAACATAAACATTCCTCGATTGAAAATGGAAAGAAAAATGTAAGTAAAAATAATAAATGCAATTTAATCTGTGAACAACAAATATATATTTTTTTATTTTCGCAATTCCAGCACGAAAAAACTACACAGCTGCGGGCACTAGTTGAGTATATGGGGGAGAATCCTAAGTTCGCCAGAGGAGTGCCAATTTTTGGAAGCAGCAGGCAATCCCATGAAGACCACTGGAAGACACAAACCTAGAAAAAATCATTTTTTTTATTATTTCAAAAATGTAAAAATACAATCATACTTACTGGTTGTTAGGTACTTCAAATAAATTCGAAGCATCTCTTAAATGCCTCCGTGGCACAATTTGAACCTCCTCCTCATCATCCATAAAAAATAGGGCTACAGAAATATTCATTTTTTTTCTTTTTTAAGAACACAAATAATCTGAACACAATCACTAGAAATTTTATTTTGTTTGTTTATTTACAATTTGTTTGTTTACAACTGAACTGTCAGTTGAGACAGAGCCACTGCTGCTTTTTCGCGTTTAAATTAGACATTTGGCGCTTTTTTTTTGCCTTATTTCGCGATTAATTTTGCCAAAAAATATTTTGCAACACTGAATCACGTAAGGCTATGCGAAAGAAAGAACGAAAGTTAGTGGAACGCATTCTTATGCGAAAGTGAGTGAGTAGCCTTCGTTCGCACAAATTTTCTTTCGAGATCGTGGAACAGGCTGTAAGAAAATGTATTGACAGACATGTGTTCATGCTGCTGATCGGCAATACCAGATAGATATCTTAGATAAAAAATTGTGTACTATTACCTTTGGTATAAGCAGTGCATCTTATGCTAGGAACACAATTGGAGCGTACGACGAATTTTTTCGCGGCGTATGTTCGTCGTCAAAAATAAAACACATATGTGTATATGGAAGTGCACACAATCACGGCACCGGCGAAAATTTCGTCGGTCGCCGCGAACTCAATTAGCTTTATTTCTATTTCATACGCCGGCGACCGGCGAACAAAATAGTACAAGGTGGCCATACTTGTACGAATTTTATGTTTTTTAGTAAATAAAGTTACTTTTTACTTTAAAATTTGTTATGGTCACTCTACTATCTGTTAATCGTATAAAAAAAACATAATTAATTTGTTTATTTATTTGTGTACTTGCGCCTGAGTGAAGATGGATATCAGTGAATTTATAAAAGAGAAGATGGACATAAGTGAAATTATAATAGAGAACGTAAAGAATTATGTGTTCTTGTATAAATCATTGTAGTCAACAAATGAGCAAAAAGTAAACAACTTCATCAGCTGTTTTATAATTTCGTCGGTATTGTGTTCCATACGACGAATTTTCGCGGCTCATTTTGTCGCTGCGTAGGGCGAAATTCGTCGTTCGCTCCAATTGTGTTCCTAGCATTATTTGGCATTTCTTTTCTTTCATTTTGCAACGCAAACATTGGTCCAACCGAGCCGGATTATTTTCAACGAAAATTAACCCATATCCCTTTTTCTCCTTTTACAAAGGCATCTACATCGACTTCGTCGAGGACAACAACAACCAACACAAAAAGATCAACGATCAACAAAATTTATATTTTATTTATCTATTCAAATAAAATATTAATAGCAACACAGGTATGTACACATCTTTATTTATTTTACGAATAAAAAGTGTTGCACAGTGATTCCGTGTTGTGATAAATAATAAAAAAAACCGTCGGTCGTTTTACAGCGCGTCCGTCCGTCCATTTGCCGTTGGTAAATTTCATTTCAAAAACAATAAGTGTCAAATCCGTCACTCTATATTTTTGTTTACAACAAAAATATACACACACAATCACAGTGAATTTTGTTTCATTTCCATTTTAACTTATTTTTTGTGTGTTTCGCGCATTTCTTTTATTTTGTTCTTTTTTTTTTCTATTGATCATTTTGGTATTTTGTTTTTCATTTATTTTTTCTTCTTTCTTCAAAACACCAAAATCATCACAACAACAATTACCATATGCAAGAGTAATTGTCATCTCTGCTGATTGTTGCCACATATTTAACACTTACATATAAGTATACACTTACATATAACATATGATCATATTTATTAGGGGTGTTCACACTTCCTAATATTATCCAACAAATTGATCGAAATATTTTAGTGCCATTTTCGGATATTTTTTGTGTTGAATCCTTCGGATATCAACTTAAATTAAATTTAAATTGTGTTTTCGACACTGTGCACCCTATATTCGGTCTTATTTATTAAAAGATTATTATTTTTATATTTATATAAAATATAATATTTTATATACTTAATCAAAAACTATTTAATTTTTTATAAAATATTTTTGATTTAAATTTTTTGTTGTTGTCCGCTACCTATTGAAAACGTGCATCTTACAGTCCGTGCACCCTACAGTCGGTTTTATTGACATTTTTAATATTTTTTTCGAATTTTTGATTTTTTATTAAAAATTTTTGATATTTTTTCGTTGGCAATTGTTATCATCGATACTTTGCCATAGTTTTCAGATATTCTACGATACACTGTAAACATTTTACGAAATTTGTAATACACTGAGATAAATTTGAAGCTATTACTTAATTTTGTTTTCTTCAAATTTCTATATATTCGTGGTTTAATCACGTTAAACCTCAATATTTTGCCGTATCTACGATATTTTATTACGATTAGTCAACGACTAATTATAAAATCAATGTATTTCTAATAAAACACATTAATTTTCTTCAAGCATCTCGTGCTTTAAAGTACTTTTTATTAATATTTTTGCAAAAACTTTCACTTTTTTTGATTTGGATTGTCAATTTCTAGAAATTAAAGCATTTCGTGCAAATCTTTCTAGATTTTTATATTTTTGCTATATATTTGTACATCTTTTTAAAGATTTTCATAGTACAAATTGTTTTTCAAACAATTCTTTGAAAATTCTTGGTGTTTTTGCTACTTTTCCTGCAGTTTTCTAAAACAAAATACAGTTTTCCACGAAAACTTTAGACATTTTTCTAATTTTTTCTGAATTACGTTCATTTATTTGAAATAAAATGCCACTCACACCTCTAGATTTGTTCATCCGAGCTACTGATGCTTTGGTTAAATTTGATGCCAACTTCAGTTCCCAATGGGACGATGAGCTCGATGTCTATATTTTAGAATTACAGGGAGCTGAGGTCAGAACGTTATGGGAAAAGGTGAAAACAGTTTTTGACAAGTGTCTTAATTATTTTGCAGAAGAAGACAGTTCGGGTGAGGACATCACTGCCGCTGACACTAAATACGATGTCGCATTTAGATGTTATCTAAAATTTTTAGCTTCCATCAACAGAAAGTTAGATGAACTTCGGGCTCCGCCTAAGTCATCAATGGCGACATCGTCTCCTCAGGCTAGCGTAGGTAATAGGACTATATCTCGTTCCGAGATTAACACAGTCAATCAGCCTAAACCTCGTTCCGAGGATAGAGCTTCGATTTTGGAGGCTTCGCCTCATTCGCCAATATCTTATAACTCATCACTCACTTCCTGTGATGGTGATAATTCTGGTCATAGGTTGAATTTACCGCCTTGTGACATAGAAATATTTAATGGCGACTTTCTTTCCTGGCCCACATTTAGAGACTTATTCTCGGCAGTGTATATTAACAATACTGGCATTAGTGACATTGAACGTCTATGTCATTTAAACAAAAAGACCAGTGGCGACGCCCATGACATAGTGGCTAAGCTTTCACTTACCCACAAAAACTTTGGTCTTGCGTGGAAAGCTCTAAAACAAACGTATGACAATCCACGTATTTTGGTGAACCACCAACTTAAGCTTTTATTTGACCTGCCAGTATTAGACAGTGAAACAAGTTTAGGTTTAAAGAAATTGCAAAGAGGCATAAATGGGTGTATTTCGGCCATGTTAAATTATGTTGTGTCTACTGAAGGCTGGGACCCTATTCTAGTGTTCATATGTCTTCAAAGGCTCCCCAAAAATAGCGTCAAACTTTGGGAACAAAGTATCAAAAATAAATCAGCTTTGTCTTCCTGGGAAGATTTGGATAAGTTTCTTACAGAACGCATCCAAACTATTACCTGCCTTCGTGGCATTAGAGGCATTGACAACGTCAAACCTCAAAGTAGTAAAAAAGTTCGTTCACATTTCACGAATGCTGGCACGAACCGATCCCCTACTTTTACGCCTCGTAATTCATCTTCGTCATCTAGGTCAATCCGAGCACGCTCCAATAAAACATGCATTCTATGTCCACGACAAATGCATCATATCAGAGCATGCCAAAAATTTCTACAACTTTCAGTTCCTGAAAGAATTAACACCATTAGGCGACATGATTGTTGTTTAAATTGTCTGTCTCCTAAACATTTAGTCAACCACTGCAGTAGTCCACACAATTGTAGCAAATGTAATAAGAGACATCACACTCTATTACATAGAGATAATTCCACGTCTTCGACTGCAGCAACTTCTGAAGTCAGGAACGTAGCTTTGTGCAATCAACCTTCCACTTCTTCAGATCTATCTTCCAGCTCTTCTAATAGACAGGTATTTCATACTGCTCAAAGTCGAAATGTCCTATTGGGCACGGCAATGGTGAACATCGTTTACCAGGGTACCACGTACCCTGCTAGAGCATTAATTGACCCTGCTTCAGAAGCTTCTTTTATTACAGATCGCTTACAGCACATACTAGGCATCGCCTCCACTACAACTGTTGCTACAATTTCTGGCATTAATCAGGCAGTTTTGACTACGTCGCGCAAGTTGTGTTCAATTTGTATAAGTTCTCCATTGGATGCTTCGCTTTCAATGGAAACTACTGCCCTGATTTTACCTTCCATCTCTGGCAATCTGCCTTCCTTTTCTGTTAATAGCGACTTCGTTTCTCGTGTGCCAAATCTACGTTTGGCTGATCCAAATTTGTTCAACAGTCGCCCTGTTGACCTTTTGCTGGGAGCAGATCTTTATTCAAAGATTCTGCTACAGGGAATTCATATCTATCTATCTATCAATCTTTTCCGTTAAAGTCAGTATATCTGACGAAGAAAACCTTAACAAGGTTCTTCTTCGTTTTTGGGGACTGGAGGAAGTTCCTAAACGTCCAATTTTGTCGCCCTCCGACCAGTTTTGTGAGGCAAATTATAAACGAACCACACGTCGGGATTCAGAGGGCAGGTACGTGGTCAGCCTTCCCTTCAAGACAGAGTTAGTTGGACAGGCAGACTTAGGATTTTCCCGAAATAATTGTTTACGACAATTTCTTCGGAATGAGGCATCTCTTCTTCGAAAGCCACAAGTCAAGGCAGTCTACGACCAAGTGGTCAATGAGTATTTAGATTT